ACTAGAATCCCCTAATGGAATCCTACCGCAGCATGTATCTGTCCGGCACGTAATTTTCTAGAAATAGTTGTGTCCGACGAGTTCCCTACTATACCGAATCAAGTGGCATGTCTACAACATTCACACAGACTGTCTACATAGTCTAGATGCACCCTGAATGGTTCACTTACAGCATCATTAGTTAGAACTGGCTATGGTAACATACAACAGTCCTACACTAATCTGTCTGTGAGGTTAGCAGTCCATCAACCAACTAATCAAAGGTACAAAAGACAATGTAGCAGATGTATGATTGATGGGTATGGTTGTGTATACAGTTGAGCACCAATTGGAACCTACCCTTCCCCTCAATCCAACCATCCGAACAGCATCATTGAGCGAGCWGKGTCTTCGTGTGTKTATCGGCCCACCCCTGTGCCCAAGTTGTCACCGAGCAAGCCAGCCCAACCACTCTTATTTAACCTCGTACGGCGACGAGCCTTCCTGTCCATGTGATCTGGCTGATCAAGAGGAATTTATAGAGCGCCCCCATCTCTGCAGGAATTATTTAACGTCGCAGTCAGGACGACGATCACAACCAGATTCACGATGAACTCCCAACCAGAAATGTTTATAGACGGTCTGGTAAGCATCTGTCATGGGCTGGCACACCCGGAGGAACTTCTATTAGCGCAGCAAGTGCCAAACAGGACAGCAGCCATCGCATGCGTGCACTACTCCCTGTGGGTTGGCATGGTGACCGTGACCCAGTGCTTCGACCAGGGCCCTTCAGAGGCACCGCCCTTCTTCCTTCAAGATGCTTCCGAGAAGATTGTCGTCTCTCAAGGTAGCGCGCTCACGACACCTCACCAAGGAGAGGACTCTCAAGTTGGACTCACTTCCTCACGGTAAGAAGAGATTGATAGAGTAGATAAGGTAAGGGATCAACATACCTGGAGATAGCTGCCCCCAACCACAGATTTTCTCACCAATTGAGCTGATGTTGCATTTGATGACCGGTCATGACCTCGGTACCACCCACAACGCAATGCAGTGCCACCTTAGTCCAATGTCACATCAGCATGCTCTCATCATCAATCAAACATTCCGCTGTATCCCACGGCATACACTGCCGTAATAGCCTTCCGGTGCACCCCTCTCTACCCAGGGCGTGCACCTATAGTAGCCTGACGTCACAAGTACCCACTGCGAAGAAGCATCGTCAACACACAAAGTCTCTATAATGCCAGCGTGCCAAGGGTAAGTGGCGATCAAACCAGCTCCGATACCAAATTGCAAGGAACATGAATATGGACGAAGCAGAGAAATCCAGAATGCAAAATCACACTGAAGTCCAAGTAGTCAAAGCCAAAGCAGATAGCAGATGGAACCGAGTAACCATCCAATTGAGAATGATACAGAAGAATCGTGAGTCAATGTCCATGCCCAACAGGGCAACACCAACAGCATA